AGTTCCTGTAAAACGGATACGTTAATATGTCATTTTATTATCATTTACATCGCTCAGGTCTGCATCAGGATCTAACTTTTTTTATTCGGTTGAAACGAAACAATAACCCATCACTGGGACTCATACTAGCGAAGCCGAGAGCTTTATTATTTACGGGGTATTTCTTGGATTGATTTTTTAAGCTATCGAGTGAATGAGGTTGAGTTACAACCGCAAAATCGTCATTTATTAAAGTAAATGGATATTTTCTATTTAACGTTAAAATAATTTGCGCATGCGCCACCACCATCCCATCCGAAGCAAGATCCACATCGATCTTGCATAACATCGTGGCAAGCACCTTACGATGGGCGAAATTTGGCTTGATTGCTTCTCTTTCGGATAAACCACATTGGTACCTTGTTCGTGACTTGAATTTGAGTGTTTCACGTAAATCACGTGGTAGTGATTTTAATTTATTGTGCATTAATTTATTCTGCTCAGCCGCTGTGACCACATGCACTCTGAAGTGTGCGCCTAAGTGTTCGACATTACACTTGGCACCACGAGCCTAACTTCTTTGCGTTATCGGTTAGTCGTATGACTTTGGACGGTTTTAACTGCCTCCACAAAGGAGATGTCCACAAATGACCAACGGTCAGCCGTTAAGATGCCTTCTCGTGTTTGGTGTCTGCGTCCATGGAGGGGAATTCCGTAGTTGGGTTCCTTTCAGAAAGTCTGATGAACCAGCCATAGCGTTATGGTTCAGGAGAAGAACAACATCAGAAACTTTCCGAAGTAGGTAAACGAATATCCCTATGCGCAGGTAGCAGGAAACTACATGCTGTAGTGCCCAATTAAGCTGTAATTGCTCAGTTCGGAAATAAGATGCTCTCAGCTAATTATCTTAGTGGATCAGTGGAGCGCAGTGCTTCACCGTCAGCTCCATTGAAGAACGGCGCCAATCATTGAACAGCAAGGTAGATCGATGATATGCAGTCGGTACAAACTTTTGTTTTCTTTCCAGTTTTAATTGAAGCGTCGGTTCTAGTCCATACGGACACCTGAACAAAGACAGTTGCCGTTTCAGATTCTGTAAATGAAATCATGTACAAATGCATGTTAAAGCAAATCTAACGAAGCATGTGTGCTGCACAACTGCATTGATAGTTATCTACACGTA